AGCAGCTGTAATCTCTCTTCTTGTTTATTTTGCTGTTCGAGCTGCCATTGTTGTAGGTTTTCTTGTAACTGCTGTTGTCTTTCTTCTTGTTTCTTTTCTCTTCCCTCCAACAGCAGCTGTAATCTCTCTTCTTGTTTATTTTGCTGTTCGAGCTGCCATTGTTGTAGGTTTTCTTGTAACTGCTGTTGTCTTTCTTCTTGTTTCTTTTCTTTTTCCTCCAACCACTGCTGTAATTTCTCTTCTCGTTCTTCTTGTGTCTTTTCTTGTTTATTTTCTCGTTCTTCTTGTTTCTTTTGCTGCTCTTGTATTGCTGCCATCAAGTCTGCTAAGCAAACGAGAGGCGGAAAATCAAACTACACCATTTTTTTTATCATCCCACTTCTGACACCAATTTGTTATGCCTCCAGTCGTTAGTTGATTTCCCGTAACTTCGTTCCGACGAAACTTTAGCGACGCAAGTCCTTACTTAATAAAACTGATTTATTCTTTTTGAATACAACTTTACCGATACACTTATTTTCAACAGTTGCGCTATAACAAAGAACGTGCTCAACTTCAACAATACTATCTGACTGCAGTTCAATTACTTACTACCTACAGACACACATTGTCCCATCACGTTGTGAGCGTCATATATATATACCAGACTAACATATATCTAGTAAATGCTAGGGCATTCACGAAGGAACGGGATAGTTCTAGAAACGGGTGGCGTGACAGTAGTCACGTGACCTCGCTGACGCAACAATACTTTTAAACCAGAAATAATGAGAACAGTCTATATTGCATCATTAGAAATACCAATTTATTAGCTTTATATATTTACCAAAAAAAAACACAGAAAATTGTGTAACTCAAAATATACATTATGACCTCTTACTACTGGATGACTGTGGCAAAAGGAACTCCATTTTATGGTCAACGACCAACCTTGTATGTAAAGTAATGCCTCCACTATGCTTAAATATGTGAGTTATTGAGATGTTGCACATCATAGATTTGGGATTTGGTCTTTGTAGATTTGTTGTTTAGTTTTGACTATATTTTTAGTTAAAATATTATTTGAGTGAGTAATTTAGTAACTTTAGAGTGATAAAAATCTCTTTTGATAGGAGGTATAGCTATGATAGTGGCCTTATATTTTAAAATAGTTGTTGTTTGGAAATAAGGGTAAAACTTGAAATTGGGGTTTTCTATTTATCATGATTAAGTTCTGTATATACATTTATTTAGCTGTATTAGATAGAAACTCTAGGTAAAATGTGCTATTTAACTTTTTAATTAAGTGAAAAAATTCCCTTTAAGTAGAAATGATTCAGTATTAGAGATGAGCTCTAAAAAAAAACAATAATACATCTTTTGAAAGTTTTCTACATAACCTACAAAAATTTTGCACCAGTCAGATTATTTTAATATTATCATTAACAAACTGGCTGAATTAACCAAAGTTAAAGATGCATTTTGTCAATGTATTTATTTCTGTTCACAGGAAATACATTGTACAACAGTTAAGCAATCATTGTCATCCTTTGCTTCAAAATCTTCAGCAAGCAATTCAACTCAAGCTATGGTGTTAAAACAGAAAGGGAGCACTTTATTGGATAAAGTGATAGATTTGGATCATGAAGGAGTTCCCACTAATCATCTAAAACAACCTGAGCCAGGTAAGGATAATAAAATTCTCTGCAAGTTATTTTAGCCAAGGTAAAAGATGCATTATATTGGTAGTTTTGTTGCTGTTCACAGGATAGTCAATCAATAACTGAACAAATATCCTCAGCTTTGTGGCTGTTCACAGGATAGTCAAACAATAACTGAACAAATATCCTCAGCCTTGTTGCTGTTCACAGAATAGTCAAACAGTAACTGAACAAATATCCTCAGCTTTGTTGCTGTTCACAGGATAGTCAAACAATAACCAAACAAATATCCTCAGCTTCAAAATCTACAGCTAGTCGGTCCACACAAGCTGCATTATTAAAAATAGAAATTAAGTGCTGCATAAGATAATCTGAAGTAATTTTTTCCCAAACATTAATAAATTGAAATTTTATCTACAAAATAAGTAAAGCGTGAAATGTTTGATAATCCTTTGGCAGGGGTTTTCCTAGTGTGCTGTTGATCACAGATTTTGCACCTGTAAAAATATTTGTGCAATTGAAAATTCACCTAGATAAGTAAGTTGAAGTGCATAAATGTTAAAAAAACATATTTAAGATTATAAAATTTCATTCCATAGTTGATAAATAAATGTGGTTACTAGAATATTCTTAATTTTTTTATCATTTGTTGGTAGGCATGTGTATATGAGGTACAATAAGGCATCATGTATTAAAAAATGATGAAGATAAAATATAATTATGCAACTGAAAAAAACCTTAGGAAAAGCTCTGTCTTTTAGAATAATCTGAGGCAAAGTAAACATCAGTTGAATGGATTGTTTTTAAGGAAAAGTTATGGTATGAAGAGTGTTTTAGTCTTAGGACTGAATTCAGTTTGTTTCACAATGAATATCTAAGTTCTGATATTGTTTATTTAAAGTTCACTGACAAAGATACTGAAATGAGGAAAATAAAGAAAGGTAAATAAAAGTGTTTGTCTTTTCAAAATATGATTATAATGTTTGTTCTTTTTATTTTTATTTATTAGAATATGTGAATACCACAAAAAGTTCAGATAATAAAGATACAGGTGACTTAGCTTTGGTTTGTATCAGTCAGCCATCAACTTCACTTTCACCCTTGCTTCAAGAACCTCCTGTGTCCAAAGCTCCCTTTGACATGCGTAAGTTTTACATATAAACAACATAAAGAGTGCAGCTACAATGTAATAAAACTTGAAAATACAAGGGAAAGAGAGATATGGAATTAAACCTTTCATGATTGGATCATGCAATTTGCAGAAATCAAGTTGTGAATTTCACTTGTACAACAATACACGTGATAACTCTGAGATTTCTTAATGTATCCTCTTGAAAACTGGTTAAGATTTCATTAAAGATCATAAGTATCTTGTACACAAATAATGGCAGTTTTATAATTAAGTTTTCTACTAAAAATATGTTATTTTTCTATTGTATTTACTTGCATTCAAACTATTAACAAATTGAGTGCAAAGTGATTTACATTTTAAGTATAAAAATACTATTCTTCATATTTTATTTGCATAATCTCTAGAACCTCCTGAAAGGATATCAAAAGTTTTTAAGGAAAATTTTTGTATTTTATTTTCCATTTTCTCTACATATCACTAACTCTAACTATTATCATCAATGTATAATGCAACGAAATAATTAAAACTAGGAAATAGAAAAAACATACCTTTTAATTTTTTGTAGAATATCTTTAAAGAGTTTCCTTCTGTTAAATTTGTAATTTCATTTCTTTTCCTTTTCACATGCAGTTAATTTTTAATGTTTTTTTTCCTTTTTTGCTTTGTACACCTTACTATTCATCTTGACACAAGTCAGTGATGCTCTTGAGACATATTATAGTTTCTGTGGGAGACATGTGCAACCCTTCAGTAAAATTTTCATTTGGCACGTAATATCGTAAGCCTCGAGAATGAATGCAAAGTATGATGTATATTTAAAAAATGTTTAAACATTTTAATTATGAATTCTAAAACATAACTAATACACAGTTAACTAAAATGTAATAGTAAGACCTAAATACAGTTTAAACTGTATCTCTCTATAACATATTTAAGTAAGAAACAACTGTTACGACAGTGGGGGTCATGTGACGAGTATTCTAGAAGATTCGCTAGTGTGTTACGACAGCGGGGTCACGTGACGAATATTCTAGAAGATTCGCTAGTGTGTTGCGATAGCGTTTCGTCAAGTGACGCTGGTAGCACGTGTTGGGAGTCTTAGAAGTTTCTAGAACAGGCAGTATTATTGTATATAAGTGCGCTAGACAGTGAGAGAGACAGACGGAGTCGAAGCAATAGTGGAGACAAAGACAGAGACGTAGCGGAGACAAAGCAGGCAGAGAGAAAGAAAGACAGTGGTTACAGTCGGTGGGAACTGAGGATAGCAGACACAGAGAACGGAACTATAGTTTGCGGGGACGGACGATTAAGTCTAAGCGCGATAGAAAGTGAGTGAATTGTTGTGAAGTATAGTGTGTGTAACTGTGAAAATTAAGTACATTACAAAGTTGTATTGAGGAAGAATAAACAAGTTTTATAAAGAAAGGACTTGTACCTTGTAAGAATTAACAAGCAAACATACAGAGACGTAACAAATTGGTGTCAGAAGTGGGATGAAAAAAAAAGGAAACGAGAGGCGGAAAATCGAACTACAGCTTAGCAGACTTGATGGCAGCAATACAAGAGCAGCAAAAGAAACAAGAAGAACGAGAAAATGAAAAAGAAAAGAAACAAGAAGAAAGATTACAGCAGTGGCAAGAAAACCTACAACAATTGCAGCTCGAACAGCAAAATAAACAAGAGAGATTACAGCAGTTGTTGGA